TTCATTACCGGCGTACTGCAACCCCACTGCAACGAGTACGACCTCTACAGCCAATACTGGGGTACTGCTACGGTACTGGTGCAGTGCTGGTACCCTGTACTCCTACAGCGCGATTGCGTCGACTGGTCTGCTGAGAGTAATAGTCATACAGCACGGTTCGTACTCTAGAATAGCAACACGACGGTGCGATTGCAGCACTAGAGTACTATCAGACTAAAGTACAACTGTCCAGGTACTACGGCCAACGCTCAACTGTTATTACCACACTATTACAATGCAGCGAGTTCTATAATAGCACAGGCAATACTTCTGCGACTACAGTAATGCTACTACAGTACTGCCGCACTATTGTGCCACCATTACAACCAATACTCGAGCACGACTACCGCTACAATGTTCAACTACTGCTACAGATACTAATTCAGTCCCACTGCGTACTTCAGTAGTATGACTCCACCCAGTACTAAAATACTATTGCTATTACAACGCAGGCGTATTACTATTACCACATTGCTACAAAAGTAATACTACTACAATACTAGAGTAGTCCTACGACTAACATTCCTACAATAGTTTCAAACAGTTCGTGTGCTACTCTCACAGCCACCATTACAAACCAGAGTACTGCCACGACTACTATACGACCTCAGTATTGCTACGATTACAATGAGATGATACGAATACGATACTACTACGGCACTGCGGTACAAGGGTGTGGCGACCGTGCTTGAGCACTAGAATAGTGGAGCCCACTACAGTTACAGCCGATACACTATTAGTACAATAATGCAGCACAGCGGCTGCAATACTACTGCTACAACACGGAAATACGACTATTACAACGTTACCGCTTCAGCAGTGCAGTATCATAATACTACAACAGTTTTGCGGCACAACGGTATTTGAACATTCGTACTGCTGTACTGTAGTACTCCCACTGCAAGCAACAATCATATGCTACTCTCACGGATGCTGTGCGAGCTCTGGCTCTACAGCGCCACTACTACAACAATGCAAATCGATTCGCCCACTGTCACCAGCGTCTCACTACAATCCCGGGACACGGCTACTACAACTACTGCTGCTGCTGCTGCTGCTGCTGCTACTACTACTACTACTAACGCTATGAATGTAGCAGTACTGTCCTCGGATACTATAGTAGGGAACTACGTCTACTATACCACGACCGTGCGACTACTGAAGCAACTACTAGATGACGGTCTTGAACGCAATGTTTGAATACTTCAAATATTGCTGCAACGACAGAACTACTACAGTGCTGCTACTTCATCGCTGCAGAAGTACGGCAGTTCTAGAATGGTGCAACAGGTCAGCACGACTAATGTTACAATACTACAATACTACTACTACGACACTCGGTACGAGAAAACTGCAAGTACATTACAGAAATGATATTATCATATACCGCTGCAGTAACATCGGCGCAGGACTATAGCAATACAGTGCGGCTGATTTAACAATGAAGTCCCGTCTTGAGACAAGATGCGTATACCACTAAACCAGGGCTGCAAGACGCTGAATACAGACCGTACGGTTACTACTACTACTACTACTACTACTACTACTACTACTACTACTACTACTGTTGCTGCTGCTACTACTACCTACTACTACTACCACTACTACTACAACTACCACTACTACAACCACTACTACTACTACCACTACGACTGATTTGTTTCACTGCTGCTACTACGATTGCTAAACCTAGTACTAGCACTAATACTAGTACTAGTACTGGTACAACGACGACGACGACGACGACGACTACTACTACGACTACTACTACGACTACTACCACTAATACTGCTACGGCGACTGCTACTACAACTCCTGTTACCAGACCTAGTACCAGTAGTAGTAGTACTACTACGACTAGTACTACGACTACTACTACTACTACTACTACTACCACCACCACAATACCAGCTGCTCCGACTACTACAACTACTATTACTACTACTGCTGCTGCTGCTACTACTATCACGTCTACAACAACAAATACTACTACCACTACTACTACTACTACTACTACTACTACTACTACTACTACTACTACTCCTACTACTACTACTACTACTACTACTACTACTACTACTACTATTTCTGCTACTATTATTACCACTACTACTACTACTACTACTACTACTACTACTACTACTACTACTACTACTACTACTACCACTACTACGACGACTGATACTTCAATGAAATGATGAAGTTGGAACGTATTGGAAGCGGTTGCTCCAGCTTGGGACGGAAGGTGGACGGACGGGGGGCGGCTGCCGAGGGAGGGGCGGCGTGGGACGCACGGAGGCGGAGAGAGACAAAGGGAGAGAGAGAGAGAGAGAGCGGAAGCGGCGCAGAGGCAGAGCAGAGCAGGTGCACAACGCCGACACCAGCAGCAAGCAAACGACGCCCCGTCACCAAGAAAACAACAAATCGCAGGGGGGGGACTCGACCCCTGAACCGGTGTACAGATGCCTTCTGCGATAGCTAGCTTGTCTTTGTTTCTGAGCATGACATGTTTCATTGATTACGCGTGAGGCTGCAATCACAGAGCGCAAAGCGTAGTCATCAGTGCACAGAAGGAGCGCCCTACTATATCGCGCCATGCTGGATCGCCCGGCAAAGTGTGGCCACGAAGGAGTTCCCTGTCACATCGGCGGGAGTGGTTCGCACCATTCACTGGCCGAATAAGATGCGTTGACTGCTATGCGCACACATCGGATCTCCAGCAAGAGAGGAAAACAAAAACACCTGTACTGGAAAGTGGCGGAGCCTCCACTGTCCCAGCGCGCACACTCTGTGCAAGCCTGCAGGCACGCGGGTTTGCTTGCCATGCCGCTGGCAAACCCCTCATGTTGGCGGCTTGCAGGCCTGTGCCGGCTGGATCGCATCCCCGCCGCTGCTGCCAACCGGAAGAGAAAAATTGTCGCCACCCTCGGCGTCCTCTAGGGGCCTCGCCAAATCCTCCGCGGAAACCTGTCGCGAGGTGTCCGCCTCCATCCGCGCGCGCGCGGCGATGGAGGCCTCTGAGAAGCTGGCACGGCAGAATAGCGAGGTGTTGAGCACGAAGGCCACAGTGCTGCAAAAGATGCAGCCGAGCCACAGGCCGGGCACTCCGAGCCCAAGCGGGAAGCCGAACGTGAGGGCAACGGGCAGCTGGATCACCCAGTAGCAGAGGAGCGACACGCGCGAGGCGCGGTTCTGCAATCCAAAGCCCTGGAGCGCACCCTGCATGACTTGGTTCACCCCGTCGATTACCCCCTGGACGGCCAGCAGCGGCAGAAGCCTCATCAGGAGGTCCTGCACGCCAGGGCTGTTCGGGTCGAACGCCACCGCGATCTCGCCCCGCAGCACCACGACGGCGAGGCCCATGAGCGCGCCGGCACCGCAGTTCCACTCCAGCGCCGCACGGAAGAAGCGGCGCACGGACGCCTCGTCCCCGCGGCCTACCGCGCCCCCCACCAGCGTGGCGGTCGCCTTCTGGGCGCCCGTGCCGGCCAGATACAGGATGCTAGCGACGTTGACGGCTGTGACGTGAGCAGCGAGCTTCTCCCGCGAGTGGAAATACCCGACGGCCAGCGACAACATCTCGAAGGCCCACCACTCCACGGCCATCATGGCCACTACCGGCAGAGCCAGCCACAGGTACTCCTGCAATCCGTCCCACCTGCGGCGGCCCCGCAGCGCCCTCCAGAAGCGCCACCAGTCGCGGCAGCCTGGCCGCGGATTGCTGATGGACGCGTACAAGCCGAGCAGGCACAGGTCCGTCCAGCTCTTCAGCGCCATGGCGATGCCGACGCCCTGTATGCGACGGGAGGGCACCAGCAGCGCACACCAGGCGACGTGCAGGGGCACGGAGGCGCACTGAACCCACAACGAGGGCCTTGGGAGCTTCTGCGCCATCAGGAACTTCCTGAGCGCGCTGTACTGGAACAGCCCCGGCAGACCCAGCGCGCACAGCCGGGTGTAGGTTCCCGCGTGCAACGCCGTCTCCTCTGGTTTCATGATATTTCTACCCCTCACCAGAAAAAAGGGCTGCCCATGTTGGCCATCAAATGACAACTCGATGCTGCCATGCAGCCGCGAAAATGATCAAGCAACTACCAGATAAGAAATCTGGACCAGCTTCCCGGAAGTGTCTCGAAACAAGCCTGGGCCAGTGTGCGGTGTTCATGCTGGAGGGGCGGACGCGCTCAAGAATCTGGACCAGCTTTCCAGCAAACTGGTTAAGGCACGTTGGCCCAACTGCTCGGCAGAAGGTCTCTTCATCACATGCTCGACCGTATTGTTATGCGTGCGCCACGCCTGCATCGCCGAGCGGGGGGGGACCGGGAAGGGGCATGCCACTCCTTGGCAAAAATCGTGCACCGACTTGCGGCCGCCGCGATCGCTGTGGCGACCTCCCAAACAGACACGGAGGCTTGGCTCGGGGTCGGATATCACGCCACGATCCTCGTCGCATGCCCGCAGCAGTAACAGAAGCGGCTCCGTGAAGACCACCACGCTGCCGCAAGCGACGGTGACCGCAAACATCCAAACCTGGCAGCGGTGCAAATACAACTCGCACAGGTCGTGACGGCCCCGCCCGTAAGCCTGCGTCACCAGAGTGTCCTGGGAGCCCGTGAAGCCGAAGCCCACCGCCAGGGCAGCGCAGTTGTAGACGAGGTTGCCCAGGCCGAGCCCTGCGATCTCCGCGTTGGAGCTTCCCCGGGCCCCGCCGGGGACAACCTCCCCTCCGGCCCGCGATAGGAAGAGCAGCGAGATGGTCTCGAGAGCATTTCTCCATTCGCGGCGATAACTGGCGTACTTAGGGGGGGAGAGGGGGGGGGAAGGGGGGACGTGGGGGGGGGCATAACGTAACGCCTCCGCTCTCCAACATGACAGACTGTGGTGCTGGACGCGCTGCGGCAGTGTTGGGGACGCACTGAAGGGGGGAGAAGCGTTACTTTATGGGCAGGGGGAGAAAGGGGGGGGGGCATAACGCGCGTTATGGCCCAGAGGGTAATAACATGGGGTAACCAACAGGTGCCGATACCGCTGCAATCGGACTTAGGCCACTTACGCCAAAAGAAAATCCTTCAAGAACATGAGATTCTCCGCCGACCAAACACACAGATCATTCGAGGGTACCCTCCCCAGGATGCACAGAAACATAAAACAAACAAACATCAGGGCACCTTCGCCGAACCGACCTCGATCTTATACCCCAGTCCGACTGTTCGGGGCGGCCAAGAGGGGGGCGTCCAAGAGGGGGGTGCGCAAATCATGGCCGGCGGCATGTGCGCGGCCCAGGGGGAGGCCAGGGACGTAATGAAATAAGAAGAGGCGCCATCAGATCTGGCAAAATATCATGGTCCACGTCATGATATCCACCCCCCCTAGTCATCACCCACCTCTCTGCCGCCCCCGAACTGTACTCCCCGAGCCTCTCCTGGGGCGCGACCGGAACAGTATGTCGAGGCGAATCCAGCCGTGGCGACGAGGGTCTCCGAGGAGGCCCGCACACGGAACATCAAGATATAATAACACATACACTGCGATATCATAGCACATACACTAGAAACATTCGCGCGCGCTCCGCGCGCGCTCTGTTTCTCGGTAGCTTCAAGCGCTGGGAAGTCCAAACGTGATCATGTCTGATTCCTCACTTTCCGACTGGTCGGTTTACTTCCCTCAACAGTCCGTGGCTATCGTCTCCCAATTTGCTTATCGTTGCATTCTCCTGTTTTTTTTTTTTTTTTTTTTTTTTTTTTTTTTTTTTTTTTTTTTTTTTTTTTTTTGAGCTTTCATCCACATGATGGTCCCCTCGTCCCACATTAGTCCATCTCCCTCGTGTTCCGTTGTTCCTGCCTCACCCCTGCCTTTGGTGTTTCCGCTTCCCTCTCAGTTTCGTCAATGTGCGGGCGGGCGCAGACACAGTACGTGGCAGTTCCCTTTCGATCCTGTTTCAACCTCCCTCTTTCCACCACCCCCTCCTCCTGGTGACGGGTTGGGGCCCAAAACTTGTTCGCCAGGGCTAAATCTACGGCCCATGGAGGCATCCAAGACAGGTCTGAGAAACCAGCAAGACAGCCCAATAACAACCCAAGAGAATACCAAGGCGGCCCCGAGATGCTTCCAACACGGCCCCCAAAGAGCCAGACAGCGAAAGAACGCTCCAAGGCGGCCAGAACTGCCCCTAGAGGTCAGCAAAACAAATAGCCTGGCGAAGGAACCAACCATATGCAGTTGTGAATACCGTCTTTGTGAGCAACGCATTCGGTGGAGCTCCCTATGGAGCCACGGGGCGCTGTGCTGGGTGTGGCGGACGCATGCGCCCCCCCCCACTGGGGCCTTCGATGGAGCTCCCTATGAGGCCACGGGGCGCTGTGCGGGGTGTGGCGGACGCATGCGCCCCCCCTCCACTGGGGCCTTCGGTGGAGCTCCCTATGGGACCACGAAGCGCGGTGCTGGGTGTGGCGGACGCATGCGCCCCCCCCCACTGGGACCTTCGGTGGAGCTCCCTTTGGGGCCACGAGGCGCCGTGCTGGGTGTGGCGGGCGCGTGCGCCCCCCCCACTGGGACCTTCGGTGGAGCTCCCTATGCGGCCACGAAGCGCTGTGCTGGGTGTGGCGGACGCATGCGCCCCCCCCCCCCACTGGGACCTTCGGTGGAGTCCCCCACGAAGCGCTGTGCTGGGTGCTCCCTGGGGCCTTCGGTGGAGCTCCCTTGGGGCCACGAAGCGCTGTGCTGGGTGTGGCGGGCGCATGCGCCCCCCCCACTGGGACCTTCGGTGGAGCTCCCTATGGGGCCACGAAGCGCTGTGCTGGGTGCGGCGGACGCATGCGCACCCCCCCCCCACTGGAGCCTCCGGTGGAGCTCCCTATGGGGCCACGAAGCGCTATGCTGGGTGTGACGGGCGCATGCGCCCCCCTCCACTGGGGCCTTCGGTGAAGCTCCCCATGGGGCCACGAAGCGCCGTGCTGGGTGTGGCGGACGCATGCGCCCCCCCCCACTTGAGCCTTCGGTGGAGCTCCCTATGGGGCCACGAAGCGCTGTGCTGGGCATGGCGGACGCATGCGCCCCCCCCCCCCCCCCACACTTGGGACCTTCGGTGGAGCTCCCTATGGGGCCACGAAACGCTGTGCTGGGTGTAGCGGACGCATGCGCCCCCCTCCACTGGGGCCTTCGGTGGAGCTCCCTTTGGGGCCACGAAACGCCGTGCTGGGTGTGGCGGGCGCGTGCGCCCCCCCCCCACTGGGACCTTCGGTGGAGCTCCCTATGGGGCCACGAAGCGCTGTGCTGGGTGTGGCGGACGCATGCGCCCCCCCCCCCCCCACTGGGACCTTCGGTGGAGCTCCCTCCCGATGGGGCCACGAAGCGCTGTGCTGGGTGTGGCGGACGCATGCGCCCCCTCCGCTGGGGCCTTCGGTGGAGCTCCCTTGGGGCCACGAAGCGCTGTGCTGGGTGTGGCGGGCGCATGCGCCCCCCCCCACTGGGACCTTCAGTGGAGCCCCCTTATGGGGCCACGAAGCGCCGTGCTGGGTGTGGCGGACGCATGCGCCCCCCCCCACTGGGACCTTTGGTGGAGCTCCCTATGGGGCCACGAAGCGCTGTGCTGGGTGTGGCGGACGCATGCGCCCCCCCCCACTGGGGCCTTCGGAGGAGCCCCCTTATGGGGCCACGAAACGCTGTGCTGGGTGTGGCGGACGCATGCGGGCTGTGCCACTGGGACCTTCGGTGGAGCTCCCTATGGAGCTACGAAGCGTGCGAGAGGTGTGCCGAGAGCAAAGGCAAGGAGGGGGAGGAGGGAGGAGGGGAAGGAGGGAGGAGGGAGGAGGGAGAAGGGAGGAGGGGGAGGAGGAAGGAAGGAAGGAGGAGAGACGCGGAGCACCGTCTCTTCGAAACGAGGACCAAACACCACCGGATGGTTGGGAGCAAGAAGCGCCCAAGAGATCTCCAGAGGCTTCCAAGAAGGCTCCACAAGCCCATTGGAGTCCACGCGTGGACGAGTGTCCCAAGATGGCCCAACGAGGCGTCCGAGACGGTCTACAAAAACAACCAACACAGCCCAAGAGCAACCCAAGAGAGTCCCAAGGCGGCCCCGAAATGCGTCCAACACTGCCTCCGAAGAGCCAGGCAACGCAATAACGCTCCAAGACAGCCAGAAACCGCCCTTAGAGATCCGAGCAACAAACCCCAAGAAATCCCCAGAGGCCCCCAAGAAGGCTCCACAGCCCCTAGGAGTCCACACGTGGACGAGCGTCCTATGATGGCCCAAAAAGGCCTCCAAGACGGTCTACGAAGGCAGCCGTACAGCCAACGAGGCCCCGAAGAGAGTCCCAAGGCGGCCCCGAGATGCGTCCAACACGGCCCCCGATGAGCCAAGCAGCGACAGAACGCTCCAAGACGGCCAAATTGCCCCTCGAGATCCGAACAAAAAGCTCCGAGCAGATCTCCAGCGGTCCCCAAGAAAGTTCCAAAAACCCCTAGGAGTCCAGACGTGGACGAGCGCCCACAGATGGCCCAACGAGGCCTTCGAAACAGTCTCAACAACAAACACAACAGCCCAAAGAGGACTCCAAGATACGCCGTTTTGAAGCCCTTCTGGGGCATCTTGGTGGCCTCTCGGGGCACCCTGGGGGCCTCTTGGGGCCTCCTGGGGGCCTCTTGGGGCGGAAAGCTTGAATTGTCGGTTTGCGTGCCCTCTCGTGGGCCCCTCTTGGGGCCATCTTGGGGCTCTCTTGGGCTATCTTGAGGCCCGCTTGGGCCGTCCTGGTGCCCTTTTGGGCCGTCTTGGGGCTCTAATGGGGGCCTCTTGGGCAGTCTTGAGGGTGTCTGGGTAACCTCTTGGTCCGTTGTAGTTTGTCGAAAGCCCGAAAACGTGAGAAAAACAAAAACCTCGAAAGAAAACAATACACAATTAATGATGTTGACCTGTCGGGCTGCTCTCTGAAGGCTTTTGGAGACGTCAAGGTCAATCTCTTGGCGCGTCGTGGGGCCATCTTGTGCGTCTTGGAGCGGTGCTTCAACGAGTCGGATCCCTCTTGGGCCATCGCTGTGGTTTTTGGGAGGGTGCGCCGCTGGATCTCCCCAAGCAGGGGAGGGGATGGGACCCCCCCCCTTCCCCGATCCGTCGTCGGGGACCCCCCCCGTCCCCCCCTTCCCCGATCCGTCGTCGGGGACCCCCCCCCCGTCCCCCCCTTCCCCGATCCGTCGTCGGGTGCCCCCCCCCTCCCCCCCCTTTCCCCGATCCGTCGTCGGGGACCCCCCCCCCCTCTCCCCCTTTTCAAGGGGGGGGATCCGACCCCCCCCCCCCCTTTGGCCGCACCCCCTGCCCCCCCCCTCCCCCGCCAGCCCTACCCTAGTCCCCACCCTAACCCAAACCCCTGATCCTAACCCCAAACCGCTAAGCCTAGCCCCAAAGAGTACTCACTACCCACTACTCACTGCCCACTACTGACTACTCGCTATTCGCTACTCACTTCTCACTACCCCCTACTCACTACTCACGACTCACTACTCACTACCAACTACTCACTACCCACCACCGACTACCCGCTGCTCACTACTCCCTACTCACTACCCCCTCCTCCCCACTCACTACTCACTCCCCACGACCCACTACTCAATTCTCACTAAGCATTACTCACTACTCATTACTCACTACTCACTAATCACTACTCATTACCCACTACCCACTATCCACTACTCACCACTCACTACTGACTACTCATTGCCCACAAATCACTACTCACTACCCACTACTCCCTACTCGCTACTCCCTACTCCCTACACAATACTGACTACACAGTACTTGGTACTCGCTACTCAATACTCACTACTCACTCCCCGCTACTCACTCACGACCCACTACTCACTACTCACTACTCACTAATCACTACATAGTCTCTAGCCACTAGTCACAACTCACTAGTCACTAGTCACTGCTCACTACCCACTACTCACTACTCACTTATCGCTACCCACTACCCACGATTCGCTACCCACTCCTTACTACTCACTGCTCACTACTCCCTACTCCCTACTCACTACTCACTACTCACTACTCGCTACTCCCTACTCGTTTTTCACTAATCACTACCCACTACTCACTACTGACTACTCTCTACTCATCACTATTCACTACTCACTACTCACTACGCCCTGCTCGCTCCTCACTACCCGCTACTCGCTACTCCCTACTCACTACGCCCCACTACGCACTACCCACTGCCACCACCCACTACTCTCTATTCATCACTACTCACTACTCACTACTTACTACGCTCTACGTACTACTCCCTACTCACTACTCACTACTCGCTACTCATTACTCACTACTCGCTACTCACTACTCACTACTCACTACTCACTACTCACTACTCACTACGCACTACGCACTACCCACTACTCACTACTCACAATCACTACTAGCCGTACTCGCCACCCACTACTCACGACCCACTACTCACTACCCACTACTCATGACTCCCTACTCAGTACTCACGACTCGCTACTCGCTACTCACTACTCACTATTCGCCACTCACTACTCACTTATCAGTACACACTACTCACTACTCACTACTCACTACTCCCCACTCCCTCCTCCCTACTCCCTACTCGCCACTCGCTACCCACTACTCACTACCCAATACTCACTACTCACTACGCACTAACTCACTACTCACTACTTACCACTCCCTACTCCCAACTCCACACCTTCTCTGGCGCAGAAAGGAGAAGCGAGAGAGCCCCCCCCTCCCCGGCTCCTTTCTGGCGCAAAGGGGGGGAGGGGGGGGGGGTCCGAACCCCCCCTCCTTTCCAGCGCCAAGGGTGGGAAGGGGGGGAGGGGTGCGGACCCCCCCCCCCCCTTCAACGGAGGGGGGGGGTTCGGGAACACCACCCCCCCCGCTTTCAGAGGGGGAGGGGGGGGGGGGGTCGGACCCCCCCCCCTTTGAAGGGGGGGAGGCGGGGGGGGTCCGACCCCCCCCCCCCCCCCCCCCCATTTAGTGTATTCAGGGAGATCCACCGGCGCACTTCCGGTTTTTGGGCCCCTCCTGGCGCGTCTTGAAGGGGGCCAGGTTCCCTGCCACCGCCATGGAGGTCCAGCGTTTGCCCTTAAGGCCCCCTGGCCTGGACCCCGGGTATGTGTATATATATATATATATATATATATATATATATATTGCAGAGTGAGGGGGCCGACCCGTCACTCATTGTCCCTAGGTGCGTGGCTGAATAAGGAATTCGTGGTGAGAATTCTGTTTGTTGCGTTGTTGTTGTCGTCGTCGTTGTTGTTTGTTGTCGTCGCCCCACCCGCGACCCACACGCGACCCCCCCCGCGACCCCCCCCGCGATCCACCCCGCGACCCACCTCGCGACCCACCCCGCGACCCACCCGCGACTCACCCCGCGACCCACCCGCGACCCACCCCGCGACCAATCCGCGACCCATCCGCGACCCACCCGCGACCCACCCCGCGACCCACTCTCAAGGGAGGAAAAACCACCGGGACCCGACAATTGACTTTTACTCTAACGGCCCTGGGCGTTGACTGAACAGCCCTGCCCTGTTCGATTCATTCCTTGTGTGCGTGTACTGAAGGGCTTCGCTCGTTGGGGTGATTATTATGGGGTGGATTTCCTGCCCTCTACGCCCGCGACCCACCCGCGACCCAACAGCGACCCAACAGCGACCCACCCGCGACCCAACCCGCGACCCACCCGCGACCCACCCGCGACCTACCCACATTTGTTTAATGAAAGAATCGGCGCCTGCGGCGGGTTCGTTGCATCATTTGTAAAACTTTTGCTTCTGCGGCGGGCTCCTCCAGAGTCTCGCAACCTGCCGACGTCCCCACCGCCCCCTCACTCTTATCCGCATCTGCGGGGTGCTACGTACCCAGAGATCCGATGTCGTGATGTTTTCAACGCGGGGTCCCCGGAAGTCTCGACCGATTCCCCAGGACCGGCTTTTCATCCTGAATCGTTGTTTGACGCCCCCGGGGCCCGGCGAGGGCCCCTGGAAGCCAAAAAGTGCGAAAAACCTCCGTCCTGATGTTTTCAATACGCTGGACCTCAGGGGATGTCAAAAAAGACGGCTCTCCTCGGTGGCCATCAGCAGCAAGTACATGCCCATCGTGGGCCCCGCGAGCCGCGCGACCTGCCCCAGCGCCGAGCACCGCCCGGGCGCCGCGGCCTCCGCCGCCGCCATCGCGGCGGCGAGGGCGCGGGCGAAGACCCCCGGAGAGGGGCTGGAGGAAGGACGGGGACAAGGAAAGGCGACACCAACACCAACAGGGCGAGGAGATGCGCGGAGGCATTGGGCGTGGCTTCATGGGGGGGTCATAAATGGGGGGGTCAGAAACGGTCCCCTTTCGTGCCCCTTTCGAGCCCCTCCGGACCCCCAGGGGGCTCGTTTAGGTACCGTTTGGGTACCTTTTCGGACCACCCTCGCCACCCCCCCATTTATGACCCCTCCATTACGCAACGCCCAAAGGCAAGGGCGAGCGAAGACCCCGGGAAGGGCTGGAGGAATAGGAGGCAGCTGCGGGGAGATCTTCGCCAGAAAGATTGAAAGGGATTTTAAGCCCCATTTGGGAGCTTTGGGGAGGGAAGGTGCGTGGGGGTGAAGCTCTGCGGCGAACCCCAGGGGAAAGTAAAGAAGGGGCGGGCCTTCTCAGCAGGAGCGGAAGCCCCCTGGCTTTCTAAGGAGTGTTCTAAGCCTTCCCTCCAAGGGCACAGAAGACTTCTCAGAAGGCGAGAGGGCTTCTGAGAAGTTCCGCCGCCTTGCGCCTTCTGCAAAGGCCTTCTCCTCCTCCGTGTCATCGCTCAGACGTCCATTCCCAGTGCACTTTTCGATGTTGCGAGTGTGTGTGTGTGTGTGTCGGTGTGTGTGTGTGTGAGTCGGTGTGTGTGTGTGTGTTGTGTGTGCGTGTGTGTGTGTGTGTGCGTCTGTGTCTGTGTCTGTGTCTGCGTGTGCGTGTGCTCGTGTGTGTGTGTGTGTGTGGATTGTGGGTTGTGGGTTGTGGGTTGTGGGTTATGGGTTGTGTGCTGTGTGTTGTCTGTTGTGTGTTGTGTGTGATGTGTGTTGTGTGTTGCGTGTTGCGTGTTGTGTGTTGCGTGTTGTGTGTTGTGCGTTGTGCGTTGTGTGTTGTGTGTTGTGTGTGTGTGCGTGCGTGCGTGCGTGCGCGTGTTGTTTGCTCGATGATCCAGGATGCTCCTCGATCGCCGCCGCCAGGGACAATTCACACATCCGAGCGATGCCAAGCCTCACTCCCCCCTCGCTCGCCGTCGAGAAACAGGAGTGCTCGGGCGTCGAGGAGGAAAGGTGGCGGGGAGGGCAGGGAGAGAGGCAGGCGTGCAGTCACGCGGGCGCGGAGGAGGATGCGGAGTAGACGAGGGGGAGGGATGCGGGGGAGAAGGGCAGTGATCTCGTACAGTAAGGACGCACGATAAGGATGCAAGGGGCCTTGGAAGGCCATGTTGACATTTTGCGGGCGGGTCGCGGCCAGCGAAAGCGGCCAAGGATGGGCCAACGGGGAAGGATGCACGGGTATTCTTGGAAAGTCGCTCATCCTTACTATGCGCGTTGACCGTATGGGACGAGGACAGCATGGGGGGCGGCAGGATGGAGCGCGGAGGAATAGCAGCAAGTACAGAGGCCGAAGAGACAGAGAGGAAGAGGAGGAGGGAGGGGGACATGGGACCGAGGAGGGATATGAGCGCGAGAAGAACAACCAAGGAGGAACAGGCGATGCAGGAGGACCATTATAAGAGAAGCACCAGGAAAAACACCAGGCGGATGAGGCAGGAGGGGGAGGAGGAGAGGAGCAGGAGAAGGGGAGGGCCAGGGGAAGGGTGACATTGAAAGGGTAGGAGGAGGACGAAGAGGAGAGTGGCGAGGAGGAGGCGGGGGAGAAATAGGAGCAGGGAGGCATGGGACGACAACGCAAGACCTCAAGTGCCCTCCCCCCCCCCCGCCCAGCCGGCAGCGGTAGAGCCTTTGCCAACAGGAGGGCGGCGGAAGAGACGGGAGGAAACGAATAAGGATGCGCAGAAGCGGGAGGAAGAAATTGATCAGGAGGGTCAAAGCGTCGGACGGGAGGAGGGGCTGGGGGAGGAGAGGGAGGAGGAGAGAACGGGGGATTGTGGAGTCGCAGGGGTTCAAAAGCGCGCGCGCGAGGGTTTCGCGTTGAGTTCGCGACTGTTTCTGTGCAAACTCTGCTCTGTGTCGTCCTCCTCCTCCTCCTCCTCCTCCTCCGCCCCCTCCTCCTCCTCCTCCTCCTCCTCCTCCTCCTCGCTCTTCCCCTCCTGCTACCTCTCTGCCTTTTTTTTCTCCAGGCGCCCCCCCCCAGGGAAAAAAACCCTAAAACAAAATATCAGTTTTTTTTTTCTGGGGGGGGGGGGGAGGCACCAGGAGAAAAAAAAAGGAATGCGACGTGACCACATCTGCCCTCCCCCCTAGAAGGATTCCTATTGGACGCCACCATAAGAAGGATTCACAGTAAAATCCTCGACAGAAGGGTTCCTATCGAAACCCTCCACTGAATGATTCCTACCGAAATCCTCCACATGTGGATTCCTACTGCAACCCTCCACTGAATGATTCCTACTGAAATCCTCGAATGGCAATGGTAATGGTAATGGTACTGGTAATGGTACTGGTAATGGTTACGGTAATGATAGTGGTAACGGGGTAGCGTGGCAATGACAATGGCAATGGCAACGGTAATGGTAATGGTAATAGCAATGGCAATGGCAATGGGAATGGCAATGACAATGGCAATGGCAATGGTAATGGCCATGACAATGGTAATGGTAACGGTAAGGGTAGAGGTAAAGGTAGAGTTAAAGGTAATGGTAATGGTATTGGCAATGGCAGTGGTAATGGTAATGGTAATGGGAATGGCAGTGGGAATGGGAACGGGAACGGGAATGGAAATGATAGTGGTAGTGGTAATGGTAATGGTAATGGTAATGGTCCTGGAAATTGTAATCGTATTGGGAATGTGAATGAGAACGGGAATTCTAATGGTAATGGCAGCGGTAGTATCATGGTAATGTGAATGGGAGTGGAAATGGTACTGGCAATGGTAATGGTAGTGACGAATGGCAATGGCAATGGTGATGGTAATGGTAATGGTAATGACAGAGGTAATGGTACTGGTACTGGTAAGGTAACGGTAATGGTAATGGTAAGGGGGTAGCGATTGGCAATGGCAATGACAATGGCAACGGTAATGGTAATGACAATGGCAATGAGATTGGCAATGGCAATGACAATGATAATGGCCATGGCAATGGTAAGTGTACTGATAATGGCAATGGTAATGGGAATGGGAACGGGAATGGGAATGTGAATGGGAATAGGAACAAGAACGGGAATGGAAATGGTAGTGGTAGTGGTAACGGAAATGGGAATGATAAGGGTAAGGGTAAAGGTAAAGGTAGAGGTAAAGGTAATGGTAATGGAAATGAAAGTGATAATGGTGATGGTAATGGTAAAGGTCATGAGAATGGGAATGGCAATGGAAATGGTACTGGCAATAGTAATGGTAGCGGCTAATGGCAATGGCAATGGCAATGCGAATGGTAATGGTAATGACAGAGGTAATGGTAATGGTACTGGTAATGGTAACGGTAATGATAGTGGTAACGGGATGGCGACTGGCAGTGGCAATGACAATGACAACGGCAACGGTAATGGCAATGGCAATGGCAATGGCAATGGGAATGGCAATGGCAATGGTAATGGCCATGGCAATGGCAATGGCAATGGTGATGGTAATGGCAATGGTAATGTGAATGGGAATGGGAACGGGAATGAGAATGTGAATGAGAATGGGAACGGGCATGGAAATGGCAGTGGTAGTGGTAACGGAAATGGGAATGGTAAGGGTAAGGGTAAATGTAAAGGTAGAGGTAAAGGTAATGGTAATGGTAATGGCAATGGCAGTTGTAATGGTAATGGTAATGGTAATGGTATTGGGAATGGGAATGTTAATCGGAATGGTAATGGTACTGGCAACGGTAATGGTAGTGGCGAAGGGCAATGGCAATGGAAACGGTAATGGTAGTGGCGAATGGCAATGGTAATGGTAGTGGCGAATGGCAATGGCAATGGCAATGGTAATGGTAATGGCAATGACAATGGTAATGATAATGGTACTGGGAATGGTGATGGTGACGATAACGGTAATGGTAATGGTTATGGCAATGGTAACCGGGTAGCGATTGGCAATGGTAATGGGAATGGCAACGGCAACGGCAATGGCAATAGCAATGGCCATGGCAATGGTAATGGTCATGGTCATGGTCATGGTAATGGTAATGGTAATGGTAATGATAATGGTAATGGTAATGGTAATGGTAATGGTAATGGGAATGGGAATGAGAATGGGAATCGTAGTAGTAATTGGAACGGGAACGGGAATGGAAATGGTAGTGGTAGTGGGAAAGATAATGGCAATGGTAATGGAAATGGTACTGGTAACGGTAATGGTAATGGCAATGATGATGGGAATGGGAATTGTAATGGTGATGGCAGCGGTAATGGTAATGGTAATGGCAATTGTGTTGGTAATGCTAATGATAATGGCAATGGTAATGGTGGTGGCGAATGGTAATGCTAATGGGAATGGTAATGGTAATGGTAACGGTAATGGTAACGGGGTGGCTACTGGCAATGGCAATACCATGGCAATGGCAACGGCACTGGCAATGGCAATGGCAATGATAATGACAATTGTAATGGCAATGGTAATGGCACTGGCAATTGTAATGACAATGGTAATTGTAATGGTAATGGTACAGGTACAGGTAAAGATAAAGGTAAAGGTAATGGTAATGGTAACGGTAATGTGAATGGGAATGGGAATTGGGATGGGAATGGTAATGGTAATGGTATTGGGAATGGGAATGCAATGGGAATGGGAGTGGGAGAGATTGAGAGAGAGAGAGAGAAAACGAGAAAGGAAACATCAGCATAATGATGAGGAACAAACTGAAATTTTGTAAATTTTCGTCTAAAACCCACAGCGACTCCACAATCCCCCGGCCTCGAGGAGGAGCAGGAGAGGAAGGGGGGGGCAAGAGCAGGAGCAGGGGTCGTTTGGGCGGACACGAGAAGGCAACAAGACATGAACACGAAAAGGCGCACGAACAAAACTAGGTACATGTATGCACATGAGCACGGGGAGCAGGAATAGCAAGAGTAATTGAGCCCCTCCCCCCCAGGAGAGAAGCACGATTATAGTATAATGAAGATCGAATATGGATAAACAAATGAGGCGGTGAGGGACGAGGAGGAAGGTGAGGGCGAGGAGGTGGA